ACGTAGTACGTACGTACGGTACGTACGTACGTACGTACGTACGTACGTACGGTACGTACGTACGTACGTACGTACGTACGTACACTACTACGTACGTACGTACGTACGTACGTACGTACGTAGTAGAGAGAGAGAGAGAGAGAGAGAGAGAGGAGAACCGCTAGTTTGAGTTAGTGCGGTCCTCGAATCCAAAGTGCGGCTTTCATACTTTTTAAAGTGTAGTGAGACCGATCTTCTCCTTTCTCTCTTTAGATAGACAGCTCTTTAGGCCCGGCAATGAGTTCGCCACCTCGTTGGCCCGTCCTAAAATAAGTAATCCGTTAGCCGAACTTGAGGGTTAGTGCCAGCTTGGTTTGATCCATTTTTTCTTACTTGTTTTATGGGAAAGGTTTATATGTTTCTTCTACAGCATAACATAAAAGATGTATACTTCCTCCTTCATCCAGCCGTTCAATTTAAATTAATTGAGCTACTTACCATTTAATCTAGATCCGATACTTCAGAGTATATTATTTTTAATTTGTTTTATACTAACTATATGAATATAAAATTTGGTATGTACCATCACCTTTCGATGTTTCTTCTACATAATAAAATAAAAGATGTATACTTCCCCCTTCATCCAGCCGTTCAATTTAAATCAAGTGAGCTACTTACCATTTAATCTAGATCCGACGCTTCAGAGTATATTATTTTTAATTTGTTTTCTACTAACTATATGAATATAAAATTTAGTATGTGCCATCACCTCAATGGGCAGCACCTAAATAAAATATTTAAAAAATATTTTATAATGACTAAAATACCCCTAAAACTTGCAAGTGTAGTTCAAGAGAAGATTGGATGCCCAAATTTGGTGTCAAAATGTTTTTTATAAATTTTTTTTTTTTAAATAAACAAGTATAGAGAGTGACATTGTGATTGGGGCTATCTAACCGTTCATTTAGAATGGATGGTTGGATAAGGGGAAGTGTAGAAGTTTTATGATCTAGGGGAAGCATAAAAAGCTTGCGCTTTTTTTATTTGAGTGATTTGTTTACGTACCTTAAAATTTTAGGTACAATACAAAATGCGCTACTTATGGGCAAAAATTACAGAGAAGGTTGGTCAACAAAAAATATTTTTTTTTTCCCTAAAATGTCTCTCGATCAATCCGAATTTTGATTTTCTTTTGTAGTTTTTTCGTTAGTAGGGCAGTGCCTTAAGCTTTAAGGCATCGCTCTACTAACCGAAAGAACTAATAAAAAACTAAAAAAAAAAAATCAAAATTCAGGTTGACGAAGAAGTAATTTTGAAAAAAATAAAATTTTTTTTTGTTGTCAGATGGCAAACCTCTAGTTTATTGTTCAATTGAGTACAAAGATGGCAAACCTCTAGTTTATTGTTCAAATCCTCTTTTATGGAGTGGTAGTTTTTCCTACGTGCTTTGACTTTCCATGAGACATTCACTTGATTATCATAATAAATTATGTGGTTCCATGTTCAAACCTAAACATTTCACGAAGAAAGTACCTTAAAAATATTGCTTCTCTTGAAGCATAATATGGAGCAATATATTTTGTTTCCATTGTAGAGTATAAGATATATTTTTTCTTTCTACATCCCAATATTGTATGTACCTTACCAAAGGTAAACACCCATCCTGATGTGGATATATAATCATCAATATCTTTTTCTCAATTTGCAGTATTATAACCTTAAAGGGTTAGATCATTAGCCTCAAAACATAGACTATATCTATGTATCCCATTGAGATATCTAAATATCCTCTTAACTGATTTCCATTCTTCAATTCCAAGGTTGATCACGTATCAGTTTTGGGACATACTTCTTTAGACAATTTACTCGTTTAGCCAAGCGGAGGTGTTATTGGTTAAGAGTCTACAATATTAAATTTCTTCAATATCTTAAGAGTATGTTGATCTTGATTAAAATACAGCCCACCATAAATAATTGGAATAAGGTTTGGATGATGATGATGATACTCTTGATTAATATATGTCAATCTTTTAATTCCATATCTAGTCGGCTTTATTCCTATAATATGGTCAACTTGCCCATATTTTTTATCTCGAATTTGGAGGGCAACCCTTTTTTACCCTTATCTATCGCTTGTCCATCACTCCCCTCAGTTACATAAGGGTGTGGTTTGTATAGAGCCTAGGCTCTAAACAATCAAATTAGAGCCTACCTTCAAATAGTGTCGAGAAATGTGGTTTCAATATTGGAAATCTTTGCGACAGCTTTAAAATATATTTTCATCTATTTATAAATTTTAAAGCTTAAAAAGTAGTGTAGATCGATAGATCTATGAAAACTTAAAAATCTTGAAAATTGACTGTCCAAATATGCGCTACAAAATACACTATATTCAAAACTTGTGATCCATTTTTTTTTCTCATGTCCGTGCATCTTGATGTCGAGATGATCAATTTGAGGATATTTAGGAATCAAAACAACATCTTCTAATGAAAGTCAATCTCATTAACATCTTCAAAACATACATGTATGCAAAGGGAAAAATTACTAAAACTCTCCATATGTGGGATTGACTCAAATCAAGTACACTTAATATCTAAAACTCTCCATATGTGAGATTGATAATGGCGCACGAGGGATCTAGAAGTGCCCTTGAAGACTTAGAAGTTTTTTTCTCTCTTTTTTCTCAATTTTCTCTCTCTACACCTATATTCCACTTATTTATATCTCTCTAAAAATACAAATAGATTAGTTTCTCTTTAGAAACATAATGGGTTGGGCAAGCTTTCTATGCTTCTCCTACAGCATAGAAGTTCTATCCTCCCCCTTATCCAACTGTCCATTTTGAATGGAGGGCTAAAATAGTCTTTACACTATTTTATTTTTAATTTTTTTTCTATAAACTATTTTGACACCAAATTTTGGATGTCCATTCTTATATTAAACTCTCACTAGCAAAAAAATATCAAAAAATATTTTTAATAAAAAATGACCAAAATACCCCTGACAGATTCAAGGGGTATTTTGGTCATTATATTTTATCGAAAAATTATTTTTAATATTTTTTATAGGTGTGCCCCAATGAGAAGATGACACATACCTAATTTTATATTCATACAGTTTGTATAAAAAAAAGCAAAAATAAAATACCTTGAGACGTTGGATCTAAGATCAAATGGTTAGTGGCTCTCTTGATCAAATTTAGACGGCTGGATGGTAGAGGTAGGATAGAACTTCTATGCTGTAGGGGAAGCATAGAAACCTTTCCCTAATAAGTTTGGGATCTACTTCAAGAGGTCGAGTAATTTTTTTTTGGGTGAGTTAGTGGGAAGAGGGCCCTACCTTAGTGGGTATTGAGCCTAAGATGTAGCATTGCAAATCGTTAAGCGCTAATCAATTAAGCTTGGGCTATTTTCCTAGCAAATCAAATTAATTTTTTTTTTTTTGGGTAATTCAATAGGGAAGACATGCCCTTGCCCCTCCCGCAATAATAATTCCAGTATCCATGAGCTGAAAAAGCCTCAAAAAGAAATTTGGGCACGCATTGGAGGCTCGAGTTTTATTTTCATCCAGCTCCATCTCGTAAATGCATCCAATTGGAACTCACTATCTCCCTAAATGCTTGAGCTTTCAGCTGATTACAGTTCCTTATGGAAATGGAATTAATGCAAATAAAAATTGGGTTATCAAAATTTTATTTTTTAAATAAATAAATTTTATTTTTTAGGAATTGGGTATGGTGTGAGTTTTTTCTTAATATGTTTAGGAAGTTGGGTTTTTAGGATAAGTTAAGGCTTGGTTAATTTTGATGAGATAATGAGTTAGGCATGGTTGATTTGAATAAGATCAGGGAACCTTGAATCATGGGCTTCATATATGCCAGAGATTGGTGATTCAACTAAAGAAGAGAGAGGGTATAAATTTTCAATCATTTTTATTTTTATTTTTATTATTCTGATTATTATTTTTTCTTTGCCTAAAAAATTCTCCTAAAATCATGTTTGATTTCTATCTCGCTGAAATCACGGGTGCTCTTTTTCCTCTTTCCTAATTCTCCATTATCTAATAAGGCATGCCACAACATGATTATGCTTTTCTTTTCCAAATGAGTTGGCCTTTCTATCAGGTTAAATAAAAAGAATTTAGAATTTGAAATTTTAAATGGTTTCCAAATTTCGCCGACCATATGGAAGTTTGAATGAAGAAAGTTCAACCAAAGATAACCCAAAGAAGTTTTTCTATATGAAGATAGTGCAACTAAAGATAACCCAAAGCAGTTTTTCTATATCAGCCCTTTCTTTATACAAATGATAATGCGTTCTCTTTTCACAGTGGATTGAAAGTGGTAATTTGCTTTTGATTTCAAAAGTTCAACACTTCCTTCCTCGAACATTCCATTATCCTTCTCAAGATTTGGAAATGGAGCTTTCCACATGTTTTACATGAAAAGAAGTCGAGGAGACCAAAGAAACATCTCTCATAGGATACCACTGGAGATAACGTTTATCAGGTCTTTATAAGATATCCAATTTCCTAATATTTTACTAGACAACTTGTATTGGTGTTTCAATTTTCTTGGTTCTTTTTTAATAGTATTAGTTCTTATTCTAACCTTGTAGAGTATATTGCTGTCTTTA